GTTATGTTACACTAGGTGGTGCAAAGCAGTAAACTTCTGCCTTCATTCTCTTGCATGAATTTTACTAATCATTTTGAGTGTAGGGGAAGACTCTGTGAACTGTAACCATTTTTGGGCCATTTTCAGTACGTGGTTATGAATACATTCCTAGTGAATTTTGTACTGTTTTGTATTGCGATATATCCTAGGGATGAGTGCTGTGTTTTCTGTTAATATTTCATTTTGGTTTCAATTTTGAAGTATGCATGCACTTGTGTTCGAGGTCTTGTATGTTAGCACTGAGATATTTGACAAACCAGTTTTTGTGTAAAATCAAATTCAATATGACACGTCACATAAAATAAGTCTGTTAGCAAAATGCAAACGAATTGCCTCTAACTGAAATTACACATTGAATTGTTTTGAATTGCTATCATTTGGTAATTCTCTTAACAAGTGAGCACTTATTTTGTATTATTTATTTTTTAGAGAATTGGCAATCTTCCCGATGTTATTTCCCCTGACCTATTTCAACTTGTAACCAACATTTAGTTATATTTTTCTATTGTTTTGTGTGTATAGATTTGGTGCATCTAAGAGATTTTACTCTTCCAGACAAAGGTCAACGAGTAGCAATAAAACTCCCCTTCCATTACCTGAACAGTCTACGTCCCCCAGCTCTTGGAGATCTCTTATTATTGTATGATACTATGACTCCATCTTCCCTGGAGATGCTCCAATTTTGCAATTCTCGTTCTATAAAATTTATGTTCCATCATAGCTGGAATTGGTGGTTTGGTTTTTTTCATTCACTATAACGATGAAAAGAGAGCGAATCCAAAAGGTGATTTTGTCATTTAGACTTACTGATTTGATTGATTGACTTGATGACATAAAAGGTTTTCTAAGTGCCATATATATACTAGTGTCTATTTGGGATGAACAAGTTGTTGATGGTTCACGCCGAAGTAAAAGTTAGGGATGCTCTTCTGAAATGGCTTGTGACTCTAGTATGAGATTACGGAATTATGAAGCATTTAAGTGAAGGGTGAAATCGTATTGACTGGACTTTGTCTACAATTTCATGCAGCTTCAATGGGATTTTAACTGGTTGTAAACGTGTCGGTGATGGCTTCAGAGTCTGATCTGTTACCTAAATTCTACTTTTTGTAGAATGTATATATTGATGAGTTACTTTTGAGAGATGGGGGATTCGATGGCGATGTTGTTTGTCTAATTACAGACTTACAACATGCTTGGTAGGGATGAATGGATTGGACTTGATAATACTAAAAAAGAAAGAGAAGCTAAAATCTTGTTTATTACACTCTTTAAGTTCTTTCTAGTATTGCATACCAAACAAGCTCTTTTTTCTGTTTATATTTGAAGCATTATTATTTTATTTGAAACAACCAGTCCTCTTTGGTTTTTCTCTTTCTTCTGTCTAGCTGTGAATGTAATTAGTATCTTTTCAAGCATTTCTCTTATTTACTGTTGGCAGCTGTTGTAAATACAGTAATTTGTTATAATAAATTGCCTTTTATGAGCGTTATCACTGGAAAAAAATTATGTCAATTGCAATCTTGCATCTTTACATGGAAATTGGACTGGGAAGGGGATTCCTGAAATGTGCTCATGATGAAGATGACAAAAACATTATGAAATTATACTGCAACCATCATTCTTTTGGCTTATTTCAGTGTGTTTCTGTAGGTCTATGTCAGTTTCATCTGCTATTTTCTTGTTGTAATACTTAAAGGAATCCCATATCTACTTCTAGTGCTATTACATGAAATAATAAATTGCTTCTGCTAGCACATTTTCATGATCAAAGAAGATTAAACTAAGGGATATAACATTGGTTAATGAGCAAATGGTTGGTTATTCTTCATAGAAGTCAACTGAATTTACATTGTCTATTGACAAACTGTCTTCAACTCTTCATTTTATTTAAATTTTTTGTTTCATTTTTCAACTTCAATTAGGCCAGGGTGTAGAGCTTGAAAGAAGTGCCATTCAAGGGCCGATAATTGGTGGCCCTTTCAGCCTATTAGTACAGAAGGCCAGTTAGTCACTGAACACAACCTTCTGGAGAACTGGGTTCTCCTCTACTTCGGTTATACTTCATCTCCTGATGTTGGGCCAGTAGAGGTTCAAAAGATGGCCAAGACCGTTGAGATATTAGGTTTTACTAATCCATTTTTCCTTGCAATTAAATTGAACTGTTTTTGAGTTCTATGATTGATTTTTTGTTTTTCCTAATTTGATTGGAACAAGAGTCAAAACAGAATCTCAAGATTTTGCCCATATTTGTCACAATTGATCCTTAGAGGGATACGCCTGCACAGCTTCGTGCTTACCTCAGAGGTGAGTTTGCTATTGACTTGTTTTCTTGTACCCTTCCACAAAACTGGTTGGAGTATTTTCCATGAAGCCAGACATCTCATATTTGGTGAAAAATGGTAGCACTGTTATAAGTTGACTTTATTATTAATGAATAATTGTCATCATAACCCATAATTATATAATTTGTCTCTCTTTGTAATTGAGTTTTAAGGAAAATGACCTGAAGTCGTCATTTTACATCATGATATAATTTCATCAATCATGCTGCCTTCTTAATCATGATTATTTTTTTGGGTGAGATATCAGTTGTGTGTGGCCTTAAGAAAGGAAAGATGTAAAATAGTAATTTTCAGTTATAACTTATTTTATAAGACTTAAATGAGATCCAAAGACTTTCTTAGCTGCTGCATTTGTGTATATCTTGTCGAGGGGTTTTCCTTGACTTAAATTTTGTTAATTATCAAAAGAAAGTGTTTTCTAATGCACTAAACATCAATTCCGGCAAATTATATTATTCTACAATAATAAAAAGTACAATAAGAGAAACCTACTGCGTTTTTTTTTTTTTTTTTTTTTTTTTTTTCAGGAAAAAAAATATTTTAAGGCAATTTTTTCTTTGTTTCAACTGGGATTTTGCAAAGCCCAATTAGTATAGGTGAGTATGGTCACAGCTGCACCGGCTTAAGCTATTTATTCTCATGTTCTTCTGTCCTATGTCTTTATCTCCAGAAGTATTAAATCATTTTGATGGTTCTTTAGAATGTCTTTTAATGCATGGCAAGAAGTATCTTTTCCCTATTATGTATGTGAGTTGCACCATTTGGTGTTTATTTATTTAGTAGTAGTACTAATAAGCTAAGTTGTAATTCTGATATTTTCTATGACTAACATTTCCCGCACCACTTTCTTTCCATATCGAGTGTAGAGTTCGACTCAAGGATAGTGGGATTAACTGGACCAGTTGCTGCTATTAGACAGATGGCACAACAGTCCATGTATTCTTTAAAAAGGTCGACGAAGAAGGAGATGATTATCTTGTCAAGTCTTCTCAAAACATGTAAAGTGCAAGCCTTCCTCCGATCTTCCTCGTCTTCACTGTTTCCATTTTTCTTTTCCCGATATATCTTTTTGCTGTTTTGAAAAGTTGTATGAATATAATTAACAGGTACTTGATGAATCCGAACATGGAAGTAGTGAGGTGCTTTGGAGTTGAATACAGTGCGGGGTAGGTTTATACTTTTCAAGTGTCACTCTTAACAATTTTTTCCCTTCACACTGTCAAAATGTATGTTAGTTTTGAATTTGATCCAATTTTAATACAAAATGACACTTGGTATCTGCAGCAGCTAAGGTTCCTCATGTTCCCTGTTCAATCATCTCGAGTTTCTAATTACATTCTCAGCCACTTCCTTTTTCCCCGTGCATAGTGACACTGTGATGCACAATCTTTTCCAATATTGCAAATGTTCGAGTTTTGAAGCGTTATACTGTTCAGTAAATATAAAGCATACATAACTGTCTCGATCGTTAGGCAAATCAAATGGCTGGCTAAGGTCCCGAATTAGGGAATACTTTCATTTTTTCTGAATTTTTTTACTAAATAAGCTTTTTACGAAAATAATTAAAGATAATAAATAAAATATTTATTATCAGTTTATACTTTATTTATGTACGATCAACTAGTCAAAGAAACGAGAAACATCCATACAAAACAAATAAATGAACTGATTCAATGAATTTTCCATTTTGTTGGTTGGTAAAATTAACATGTATTGTCACTTATTCTTTCTTTATTTCCATCTGAAGCATGTGAATCCATGCAAGTCAAGGGAATTTTTAATTATATTAACTTCATTTTAGATGAGATATGAGTTAAAAATTTGTGAGGTATGAATATGATACTCAAAAACTTGAAATTGAAGAGGGTAGTGTGATTTTAAATATGAGCAATATTGACATAAAATTTCTAATAATGCTAATCATATTGAAAACTATCGATAGTTGTCCTACGTGACATATACGTAGCAGCTTGTTATTTGATGCATGAGGTAATAACAAATTGCAATATTAATGAATCAAATAATAAATTATCATGTGTACCAATAATTTTTACTACGAAGAGCATTTCTCTAAAATTTTGGTGTGTATCAAATAGTTGACTTTTTTGAAGAATTATAAGTAGACGTAATCAAGTCAAACTTGTAAAACAAGACACAAAATATGTACAGCTGGCGGTCATACGCAGGATCCTAACCTACGTGAAGTCCTCAATTGGGTCATTTGCAAATCAACAAAAGAAGAAAAATCTCCGTTCCACCAAATAAGGAGGGCTCGTCTTTAATTTTTATTTTGAGATCCATATTTCTTCCATGACCGAGTCTCTTGGAGTCCCAATCAAAACAATAATATGCTTTCTTCCCTTTTTAATTAAATTAAAAATTAATGGACTAGTTTTTGATATTCAGATACCTGTTGACCCCACCCACCTCTCCCACCAAAAATTCCCCCCCCCCCCCCCCCAAAAAAAAAAAAAAAAAAAAAATTGAGGAAGAAAAGAAAATAAAAAGGAAGACAAATTATAAAATGAGGGGTTTAAATTTTCTCTTTTCCGACATTTTTTTCTCCGTGTCAAAATCATGCATTGGTCTCTCATTTCCATTGCTGACAGAGAGAAAGCAAGAATAGAGAGATTGGTTGGTTGTTGGCAACTGCCTTCTCCAGGAGGCAGTGGAAAATAATAGAAATCAATTCAATGCAAACATATTCTTCCTTCCTGTACAAGCAATCTCTCTCTGTATGTTCATTCTTTTGTAATGAATTTCATTTTTTATTTTCCAAAATATGGGTGGGTCCTCTCCTTTTCTGGTGAAATGATCCTTTGGCCTAAAAGTTTTCAACTTTACTGTTTTTCCCCTTAGAAAAATCCCTTGGTATTCCATATATTCATTCATTCATTATTTGCATTACATTACATTACATTACAAATAGCCAAGTTATTTGTTTCTGGGGAATTGAATTTGATATGGGAGAAATCTCTCCTGAGAAAAAATCAGGCTGTGGCCTGTTGAATGCAGTTTTTGGACGTCGAAGTATATGGCCTAGAAGATCAACATCCACAGGTTCTCTTCAAAAATTCGACCCAAACGATAATGTGAACTTAGTCCAAAGCATGCCGGGTTCAAGAAGACAAAGTTCCATTTTGGATTCATCAGATGCCCCTTTAAATAAACAGGCTGACAGAATCATCGAGCGGCCAGGCCAAAACCACTCGAGATCTCCTCCCGTGTATCAGCAACACCATCTCCCACCACCGGCCGCAGCTTCAAGAAGCGTGCCTAACAAACAAGGATGTGGTCAAGCACGAAAAGTGCCCCAAAACGGACTTGCAATATCTGGGGAGCTTGAGAGCATGATCACCGATCATCAGCAATCAAAAGGTGCAGGTAAGTTAGTCCGTGCATCGTCCAGTAATGTGATGTTGTTTGGCAATTTGGGTAATTTGAGGCAACCGGGTGGCAATGGGAATTCAACTGCAAACAATGTTCTTGATTATCTTCCAAAAACTGCAAAAGATCAATCACCAGCTAATGGGAAATACAGTACTAGCGTTATGGGGAATGTATTGAAAAAAAATGAAGAGCCTTCTCTTTGTCGTGCTATTTCAACCAGAATGGATCCTGAGCAATTGAAAATTTTAGGAAATGAAGATTACAAAAATGGCAGATTTGCAGAAGCTTTGTCTTTGTACGATGCAGCCATTTCTATTGATCCGAATAAGGCTTCTTACAGGAGCAATAAAAGCGCAGCGTTAACTGCTTTAGGCAGACTTCTTGAAGCAGCTTTTGAATGCAGGGAAGCAATTAGAATTGATCCATATTATCAACGAGCTCATAATCGATTAGCAACCCTATATGTTAGGTAAAATTGTATAAATTTTTCTTGAGAAACCAGTTCGTTCATAACTTGCAAATTTGACATTGTTGCATATATAATTCGTTGGCAGATTAGGTGACGCAGAGAAGGCGGCATATCATTTCAAACAAGCTGGAGCAGAAGCTGATCCCGATTCAATGAACAAGGCTAAAAAAGTTGAAGTTCATCTGAACAAATGCACCGAGGCAAAGAGGCAGCGCGATTGGAACACCCTCCTAAAAGAAGCTACACTTGCTATAGCAGCCGGTGCTGATTCTGCACCACTGGTTAGTCATTTATTACCTGAACTTAATGTGATAACGTATGTTTCTCTACTTTTATAGTTTCCAAGTCAAAATAATTTTGTTGGTGTAATTTATGAAGATATTTTCCTCAAAAGCCGAGGCCTTACTGAAACTCCATAAGCACCAAGAAGCTGATGAAACTATGGCGAAAGGTCCAAACTTTGACATCGATGAATGTATTAAATTCTTCGGCCCTATTGGTAGTACAAGCCTGTTACTTGTTCATGCTCAAGTTAACTTGGTTGTTGGCAGGTTAGTGTCTTGTCTTTTTTAGTATGGCAATGTCTAGAATTTCATGTGTTTTCTCCAACTTTCTGGCTTGTCTTGTTATTTTGCATGTTTTTCCAAGTACCAGTTTTAATTTCTAGGCGACTGGTCTATGATCAGAAGATTTTTGTAATATGAGCAGTACATTTTCAATTTTACCGGTTAGCAAGTGATCATCATCTAATATACCTAATTCCACACGTAATTAACAGGTTTGATGATGCTCTGACCTCTGCTCAACGAGCATCTAGGCTGGACGCGAACAATAAGGAAGTAAACACGATATTGTGGAGGACGAAGGCTGTGGCATTAGCTAGATCAAATGGAAACGATTTATTCAAGGCAGGAAGATTTTCCGAGGCAAGTGTTGCATATGGTGAAGGGCTCAATCATGATCCATATAACACAGTCTTGTTATGTAACCGAGCTGCCTGCAGGTCCAAACTCGGCCAATTTGAAAAAGCAATCGAGGATTGCAGTGCTGCTTTAGGCGTCTGCCCTTTTTATAGCAAGGCTAGATTAAGAAGAGGCGATTGTTATGCTAAGGTAACTCACAAGTCATGTTAGCATGTGTGCACACGTCTGATACACAAACGCACAAGAAAATATTTTTTGAAACGTTATGATCTTTTTGCTGTAGCTGGAAAAATGGGAAGCATGCATACAAGACTGTGAGATGCTGTTAACAGAAAATCCAAATGATGAGGCGGTAGGGAAACTCTTGAAGGAGGCTCGAGCACGAAGACAGTAAGGAAGAAAAGACACGAAAGGCCAGGCTAGTGACTGGATTGAAGACGTAACAAGTTGGCCGTGAAATGTGGAAGTGCCACCGGCCCACCGGATCCTGTACGAAGTCATTGCATAGATTTCTGTTCTGATAGATGGGAAAGGAAATGGATAGAGGGCTTGCTAGGGACCATTTGACAAGATTGGATTGAAGAAAAGCATAATTGATTGATTGATTGACACAGTAGTCAACAATGATTGGGATTGTAAAATTTTTGTAATTATTTTTAGTTTGAGATGATTGAGAAACTTCATTGAAATTAGTCATTTGTTACTTTTGTCCGTAATTTGGTTCCTAAAATAATTACTTTTCTTTGCTAATCTATCATTCTACCGTGCTCATAAGGAATCTTCAAATTTTCTTCCCTTCCAAGTTGTTTAATAAATGATGACAATTGACATTTAATAATAAACAATCAAAAGTGGATTAAGGGGCCATTTAGCATGACTTTTAAAAAGACAAATTACTTTTGAAATGAAAAAATTGCTTTTAAACATGTTTAAATTTTCTGAAAGCGTTTTTTCTCGCTAAAATAGCATTTAGAGAAAGTTGACTCAAACTAGATTTCTCAAGAATTTTTTTGACAAGAAGCAGGGAAAAGTAGAAGCCACATCGAACGTTACTGCTCGAGTATGGTGGTCAAAAAAGATTTAACTTTTGTAAAATGAACAAATTAATATCTCTGAATTGTATAATAATTACTCGTACAATTTTTAGCTTGAAATTTAAATTTTGTTGCTTACTTGCTGTTGAAACTTTATTTACCAAAAGCCATGATTAAAGTAAAAAAATCTCCTGGGTTAAGAACTTGATTGATAGTTCTCGTTACTGTTTTAATCACGCCACACTTACACTTTTATTGGCATCTTTGTTGATACTGTGTGATGTGATAGACAATTTGGTCATTTATTTGAATAATAAAATTTAAATCAATGGTCAAATTTTTTACGCACCACATGATATCAACAACAATATACAATTTCAATGTACAAATAGCATTACCCTTACTTTTTTCATCCTTTTGGCATAAAATATACATATTCTGTTACCTATGCTTTTAGATATTTTCACAGTAATTATTAATTTAACAAAATTTTTTTTTATAATGTTAATATATACTACCAAACAGTATTAGAAAAAGAATATAGATTTGTGTAAGATTATGAATCTCTATTATCATACGGACCACGTATTCAACTTTTTAAATGATCAAACTTTAACCATATATTTTATTAACTTTTATATATATATATATAATATGTTAAAATTTTTATCAAACCACCGCTAAGAATCATGCATTTTGATTCCCAAAAAAAATAATGCTATTTGTGACCATCATCACTATGTGTCAACATGGTGGCGTTAAATGGTAGGTTCAGTTAAATGTAGATACGTTTTGCATTCCATTCATCTACAAAAGATGATAGTCATTAGTAATGATAAATATTATTACTCTTAGATACATGAAACTTATATTGGACTTTACCTTTCGTTCATCTGAAAATGATGATAGTCATTAGTGATGATAAATATTATTACTCTTAGATACATGAAACTTACATTGGACTTTACGTTCCATTCATCTGAAAATGATGATAGTCATTAGTGACGATAAATATTATTACTCCAAAAATTATTAATGCAAATACTACAAGATGCATGTACAAGTACAATTGGAGCTGCGTGGATTGCCTAAATTAATTATTTTTTTTTATAAAATCAATGGCGTTAATGAATTTTGGGCTGATCTATCATTTATATGCGTATGGTTCTGTTCAGTGTAACACATTAATTTAGTATTGAAGAATAGAATATGGTAATTGACGTAATCATAGTATGATAGAACTGTACTTACAAAACGAATGTGGTTGATCACTCAATTACATTTGTTAGGAAAGAGTACACGAGTTTTTTCTATACCATTTTATAATTACAGTGAATGTTATTAGGTTTTGCTCATTTTTATTCTTACGATTATGATCTAACTTTTCGTTGTATTTTAACCCCAATCTTATTTTGATTAACACATATTGTTTCAAATAACGTCTAAAAATAAGCTAGAATGAAGTAAAAATTTGCCCTTCATTTTTAAAATAAGTAATATAAGCAACAAATACATAAGTTTAACATAATATTTGGCAAAAAAAATAATAATAATAAAAATTCATTATAATAGGCAAGTATGTTAACTAATTGAAGGTTAAATTTAAAAATGTGATGAAAAAAGGTTGAAGATATAATTGCAAAAATGAGCAAAATTTGAGGGCCTCAATGCAATTAATATGTGACGGCGGTAACCAAAATCATGGTTTGAATATAATTACCCTAAAAAAATCCTAGTTGATGATTCAGTAACACCATTTCCCTTTTTAAAAAATTCATGACTTTTTTCCTGAAATTTTTGAAAATATCAGATATACCTCCTCCATTTTAAAAAAATTAACAACCTTATCTCAAGTTTCGAATAACGCATACTCCCATTGGCCACTTTTTTCATTCATATTTTAATACACAAAATAGCTTTTTAACAAAATATAACTAAATCATCAACAAAATATTATTTAGAATATTTATAGATTAACAAATTCATAACTAGTTTTTATCATTTTTGCTTTAACAAAGAGTTGATGCAGCGATTGAAAATAAAATTTCTTTTATTTCTTTTTGACATGTGTTAGTTAATTTTGATACATTGAAGGATTAATTTAAAAAATAAGTTTTGATGTCAATATTTTATTTATTCGATCAAAAAATCAAGTATTCATTTAATGAGAACTTTTCATGTCGATACTGGACTAGTTTCGAAGCTCATATTAAATGGCAAATTTTGGATTCGAGAAAAGGTTGTTATGATAAATATTATTACTCTTAGATACATGAAACTTATATTGGACTTTACCTTTCGTTCATCTGAAAATGATGATAGTCATTAGTGATGATAAATATTATTACTCTTAGATACATGAAACTTATATTGGACTTTACCTTTCGTTCATCTGAAAATGATGATAGTCATTAGTGATGATAAATATTATTACTCTTAGATACATGAAACTTACATTGGACTTTACGTTCCATTCATCTGAAAATGATGATAGTCATTAGTGACGATAAATATTATTACTCCAAAAATTATTAATGCAAATACTACAAGATGCATGTACAAGTACAATTGGAGCTGCGTGGATTGCCTAAATTAATTATTTTTTTTTATAAAATCAATGGCGTTAATGAATTTTGGGCTGATCTATCATTTATATGCGTATGGTTCTGTTCAGTGTAACACATTAATTTAGTATTGAAGAATAGAATATGGTAATTGACGTAATCATAGTATGATAGAACTGTACTTACAAAACGAATGTGGTTGATCACTCAATTACATTTGTTAGGAAAGAGTACACGAGTTTTTTCTATACCATTTTATAATTACAGTGAATGTTATTAGGTTTTGCTCATTTTTATTCTTACGATTATGATCTAACTTTTCGTTGTATTTTAACCCCAATCTTATTTTGATTAACACATATTGTTTCAAATAACGTCTAAAAATAAGCTAGAATGAAGTAAAAATTTGCCCTTCATTTTTAAAATAAGTAATATAAGCAACAAATACATAAGTTTAACATAATATTTGGCAAAAAAAATAATAATAATAAAAATTCATTATAATAGGCAAGTATGTTAACTAATTGAAGGTTAAATTTAAAAAGGTGACGAAAAAAGGTTGGAGATATAATTGCAAAAATGAGCAAAATTTGAGGGCTTCAATGCAATTAATATGTGACGGCGGTAACCAAAATCATGGTTTGAATATAATTACCCTAAAAAAATCCTAGTTGATGATTCAGTAACACCATTTCCCTTTTTAAAAAATTCATGACTTTTTTCCTGAAATTTTTGAAAATATCAGATATACCTCCTCCATTTTAAAAAAATTAACAACCTTATCTCAAGTTTCGAATAACGCATACTCCCATTGGCCACTTTTTTCTTTCATATTTTAATACACAAAATAGCTTTTTAACAAAATATAACTAAATCATCAACAAAATATTATTTAGAATATTTATAGATTAACAAATTCATAACTAGTTTTTATCATTTTTGCTTTAACAAAGAGTTGATGCAGCGATTGAAAATAAAATTTCTTTTATTTCTTTTTGACATGTGTTAGTTAATTTTGATACATCGAAGGATTAATTTAAAAAATAAGTTTTGATGTCAATATTTTATTTATTCGATCAAAAAATCAAGCATTCATTTAATGAGAACTTTTCATGTCGATACTGGACTAGTTTCGAAGCTCATATTAAATGGCAAATTTTGGATTCGAGAAAAAGTTGTTTCTAATAAGTTAGGCCTATGTTATTGTAGTTCAAAATAAGTTATATTTTAATTAATGTTAATTAACCACGTGTATCACTAAATAATTGGAATTTGACATTTTGATTTTTGAATTTGAATAGAGGATAATTAGGATTAGTTTTTATTAATTATCCATTTGTATTCCTTGTAATCTAATTAACCAATTAGATCATCTGCAGCTAGGATTTCGTGTATTTATTTCGCTACTTGACAAAAATTAAAAATAAAAATAAAATAAAATGAAATGAAAATCATTCAACTAATACATATCCCAGTGCTGTTATTTGAAATCGAGTTCTATCCAATCTTTATAACCGATTTTAAACTTCTGTTTACATATTAATTCCAATTGACATTAGATTACAAGACATCACATGCACACACAACAGACCCACTAAAGAAAGTATCTTTACGTTTAAGATTTGGAGAGGAGTTCTGTTCGACGTAAACACCATCTTATCACTACGAACTAAGGTAGGATTCATACACTAAGTTGATCGTTATATGATTTTAATTTTCATTCACGCATGTTATTCATTATATTTGCTCATGAAGTATGTGAAGTGCCTTTAATGGCTCTTCTTAAATATTAATGTCAAAAAGATTATATGTTTAATTGATGGTCGTAAAGACTCGTCAAAACTTGAAGTATATATCTTTAACTGATGGTCGTAGGGGCTCGTTAGAACTTTAAGTAGATCGTTTGATCATCAATTTTCTTATTTATGAGGACAATATGTAATAATACATGTTTAGATGTATGATATTTTATTCATATAGCATATGTAGCATACCAGGCACGGATCCAGCATCTGGCGAGCCCTCGCGGCCACTCGTGCTGGATCTGCCGGAGCCTTCAATAGCCGCCTGAATTGCCGGGTAGAAGTTGCAGCAGAAATCTGAGAGGTTGGTTTTTGTCTAATTGCACTTGTTTGTGTTGAATTGTTGATTTCTTTTCCTGTTTGGTTGTTTATTGATTTTGGGTAATGATTTAAGGGGTACAGCGTTGATGGAAGATGGGATGGCTGCAAGGCGACAGTGGCAACATTTGGTGGACGTGAGCGCTGGATTTGGGGATGAGTAACTGAGGAAGAAGAAGTTGAATGAAAATTTTGGGTTTTTTGGGCCTTTTTGTTTGGACTGAGAGTTGGGCCTCTTTTTAAAAAAATGTTTGGCCCAACCAATTTGGAGATGGATAAATAACCAGGCAATCCCAAACAGGCAAACAAACCCTTCTGCATTCTCCACTTCTTCTACGTGGTTGCTGTCGTCGTCGTCGTTGGTTGGAATTGGTTATGAAGATAAATGTTAAGCTAGACTGGATTTGACAAATGGATAAGCCTTCTCAGTTATTTCTAGTTACCGAAGCACTTTCTGTGTTTTTTCCTTTATTTTTTTATATATTTTTGGACTATTCTTCCTTATTTCTTGCGAAGTTTACATGCTTTATTTTTGGGCACTTATTTCAAATTCAGCTCTTCTGATGAATGTTGTAAAGCTTGTAAAGCCATGTGTACTGGAAATGATGGGCCTTGTCTTTGTGATACCTAGGTTTTTTTTTTTTTGTGAGAATAAATAGGCACGTGGGAACAAATTCGGTAAGGTTAGTTGGAATTTCTTTCTTTTTTGTTTTAATTTCTGTCTATAATTTTTTATGTACTTGATTGGTAGAGGATAGATATGGCTGTGTCAAATAAATTTGATTTCTTTGACTGTTTGTGCTGGTTGCGGAATTGGAAAATTTAGTTGTATAATATACTGATGGAGAAATTACAATTTTATGAAAAAAAAAATGTAATTATAGTTGAGAACCAAATATATAGATAGTAAGTACGAGACATTGATGTAGATTCAAGTTCTATATGACTAGAACATTCAAGAAAATTGGTTTAATAGAAATCTCATGACCTGCTTTCCAAAATTAATTAACCAACTAAAAATTGTGATTCTGTGAAGTTAAAATTAATGTATACTATATACTGAGCTCAAAGCTCTATGCTAATTACATGTTTCTTTGACTAATAAGAAACTTTTAGCAAGGAAATATGAGAATTACGTTTTGGTGCATTTACATGAAAGTTGAAAAATTTTAATATTATTTAATTAAATATTAATAAATAAACTTGCAACGGTTAAATGTCAATGGTCAATAGTCCACCCTACGGTCAATGGTCCGCCCTAGCTGACATTGAACCCTGGATTCACCCCTGTAGCATACTGAATATTTTTTTGAGATGCTAATTCATATCTAACATTTTTAGAGTAATCGGAGATCCTACGGTAGTTCGGCATGAATGAAATATTTTATTTTAGAGAAATTGATTCCTTATATTTTAGATTGTCACCTTTTATGATCAATAACTCGAGGTGTTCCAAGATTTGAAATTTAACTTTATTTTCGAGATGGTAAATTTTAACGTTTGGACATGTTTTCATGAATTTTCAGCATTCTGCCATTGTTTAAAAATTTACTACGGTCTATATATTTATAATTTTAGCCTGCTTTTAATTGAAAATTGACCTTTTATGAGTTATCTATCGTATTCAATTGAAAACAGATCGATTGGAGTCCCATGAAATTTATTATAGCATTTTAAGAAAACTGTGACTGTTAGATTTTGGAAATACAAACCAGCCTGTTTGAATAATAATTTAATGCTGCAAACATCATCATCGAGATCCCAAATTTTTATATGTTGCACTTATATGAATTTTATACATTCTCATAAATTTTCATAACTTTTCGTTAGGGTTTAATGGATCAAATAATTTTTGCAACTCAATGCTCAAATGGAGAAAATTGTTTCCAGCTTTCCAAATCGTTTTGTTCCATATTTTTTCTAAGTGTTAAAAAAGGGTTAAGCTTTTACAATATTTATTAATTAATTCAAATTTAAAAACTTTTCTTAATCTTGTATTTTGAAGATCTACGTTAAAGAATTCAAGTTTGGTAATGCATCGTGTTATATGAATTCAGAGCGTTACAGTTGACAAGAAAATGAAGTTATTAACTGACTGATCAAGTGGAGTGAAAATGAACATTACAAATATGTTACTTCGTATAGGTATTTTGGGTAATAGTTGATTTATATCCAAAATGAGAAGTATACTTAAATGTGTTTTGACTCAATCTGAGTATTTGCTAATGTATTTTAGAAGAACTAATTGTCTAAAATAATACTTTGATGGTACTCTGGTCAAAAGTGTTATTGACTATTTCATGTATTACATTATTATTAAGGGGCCCAAAGATAGAACAAAGTTTGTTAATTTTGTCAAAAGTGTTATTGAGCATCACATGTATTACATTATTATTAAAGGGCCCACAAGCTAGAAGAAAGTTTGTAACCATATTTTATACATTTTCTATGTTATTTATGCAAACGTGTGAAAGAAAAGTAATCAATTGAGGTACGCGTTATCCATAACTTGAAATAAGAGAGGCTTGTGTAATTTTCGAAAATAAAAGGGGTGTCACCAAAATTTTATAAACCTCTAGGGAGGTATGCTTTATTCAAAACTTGAAATAATTGAAGCTTGTGTAATTTTTAAAAAGAGGGATGTCTCTTAATCGTTATAAACCTCAAGAAAGTAGATGTATTATTCAAAACTTGAAATTATGAGAGTTTGTGTAATTTTTAAAAAGAGATGAGGAGTTTTTAAAATTGTCATAAACTCTGGGGGACATATATGTAAATTGTTCTCATACTTATGAATAGATCAATCAATCATTAGACGAGACAATTGAATTATTTCTTGCATAATCAAATTATAGACCATTGTATCCTAAACATTGCACTTATCATTTAGTTATTTTTCTTGCGTGAGAATTCTTGATTCTTCAAACATATCATCGCCTTATATAAATAATTGAGGAGTTTGTAACCGTCCGGTACTATATCATAAGCACGTCGAGGACATAAATAATTGTAATAATATACATACAAAAATTAAAATGATATCAATGGAGTATTGATCTTTGGACTTCAAAATTTCTATTCCCTCATAATCAAAGCCCAAAGAGCATACTTTAGTCCATGCTTCTTTCAACAACCTCAATTTGAAAATTTCTATTCCCTCATAATCAAAGCCCAAAGAGCATACTTTAGTCCATGCTTCTTTCAACAACCTCAATTTGAAGCATGGAGACCATCTCATGGTTAGGAAAATATAAGAATTATTTGAAAGTAATTTTGAGAATTGATTTTTTAATCGTTACGAGAAAAGTGGGATCCACAAGAGAAGAAGTCAAATATAACAATTAAAATAATGAAATAACGATAAAAAAAAATCAAATTTTTGGGTGAAAGAATCGCTCCCAAGACACCCATAAGCATAATTCATAAAAAAAATTACATAGTTATGTTTTTCATTTAGAACTTATAACCTTATATAAACCTACTTGAAGATCATGTCGTGTTGTTTAACTTGTCATACTTAGCATCCATAATATATAAAATACTCTTTGGAAGGTAATGAGTTATACTTAAGTAATCACATATGGATGATTCAATTATTTACTGGAAAATCCAAAGAAAATATTAGTAAAAACGGCAATTCATTATTTACCAAAACATGATGCCCAAAAAACGACATTTTTGGGCCATGTCCACCTTTATTTTAGCGTAGCTAATACCATTTATTGCAACCTCACTCACACAGTCACACACTANTCTCAGGATGTTCTGTATATTTTTCTGGTTCTAACTCTCTATATGGACATTCATTGTCAACTGATATATACACGAGGAAGTGGACCCAGTCACCGTGAAATATTTATGTGCATAATTTTTTTGAACGAGCTATATAGTCACAATGAGTGGCATAAGGGTTGACACAACACAGAGATATGTGGGGGTTGAAATTATTTTATTCTGATTGGACCTATCTTGACATGTGAAGGCTCGATCATCCATTGTGTCAATCATCATATTCGTTTAATATTTTCCTAATTTTTTTATAATATTTAAGCGAACCTCACTCCAATGGACCCCGTATTAAAAATTATTTATACCTAGATTTTTATTCATCTTTGAGAGGGACCTGGATTTTAAAAGAAATCACCAGCTGTCAAACATTTATTACAGGCCGATGGGACTATTGACCAAATATATGAAGGCCACCTAAGAAAGTTTAGGTGGGGAAGTCGGCAAATTTTTATGTGAAAAACAGTTATTGTGTGCTTTATTGACCAAAGGAATTGGATATTTGGACCTTGGAGGCATATTCGAATATCGTGTGAAAAATAAAAAATGAAAAGCATACAAGATGAAGTCCTTTTTACCAAAATCTATAAAAACCTGATTTTAATATATATATATAAAGCATGTTTAGTAAAGATTTTAATACAATTAACATTAATTTTTTTACCGTTATTTCACTATTTCAATTATCATTTTTAAATTCTTTTTTTATAAGACTCACTTTATCTCTAACGATCAAAAAATCAATTGACAAAATCTCTATCAAACAAACACATAATATCCCACCAAATAGGGACAAAATATGTGGTGGCAGAGCAGGGCAGTTGGATTTATCATGGCCACGTTAAAGAGGAACTTGGAGGGCCTCGTTTTCCATATTTTGTGTCATTTTGCTTGCTTGCTTGCTTGCTTGATTCTGCAGTGTGATTGCTTTCAATTTGAACTTTTGTTTAATATTTGTAGTACAGTGTCAGAAGTGTTAAAATCAATTTAGTTTTCTATTTTGTTAGTGTTTTTAAGTTAATGATGCAATATAATCAAGCCTAAGCCATAACAAAAATACCACCATCGGTTCATCACCTTCAAAATCTGTCTACATTGCCACCATTGGATTTGGATTGTCCCCACCCAACATCAAGATTAAAATTCTCACATCATTTTTGCTGGCTGCATGTAAATCGCTCAGATAGACTTTTTGTTATCTCAACAACTTTACTTTTGTTCCAGTGTTTGGATAGTAATTTTGATTCTTTAAAATAATAATAATAATAATAATTAAATAAAAGAATTCTTTTTTTGTTAGTTATTAAATGCTCAATATCATTTTAAAATAAAAAATCAACTACTTCTTTGCTGTTCTTTTCCATTAACCAGTATCGAGACATATTGTTCTTTTGTTCGGTTTAATTACAACAGGAAAATCACTTTGGTTAGATTTTACAGTTTTTCCTAGTATTGTATGTGTGCTAAGTAATAATTTGTAATTATTTCAAATAACTGGTTTTGTTTCAACGTTCCACTCAATACTATGTAAAGTTCGTACTGTTGGCATGAGTTGGCTACAGGAAAATTACAGGAGCAAATTAAGGAGGCAAATTCCTACATTATGGGGCCAACAGATCAATCAAGAGGCAAAATCATCTTTAAATTATAGCAAGATATATGTATACCAAAATAGGAGGAATATTCATTATGTTTATATACTGTTGTCACTGTAAAGAAATTCAAGGAAACAAAATCTGATTTTCTTCTCCAAAATAACATGGCATCAGAGCAACTGCTACTTTACCCTCCATAACCTTGAAACCAAAACCCAGTAACACAGAGACAGGAACTTTTCACCATGGCTAATGCAGACCCACATTTGGAAGAATCTTCTGCATCTTCTATTCTGTTCGAACTCACTGAAAAAATGGTTGAGGTGCTGTCCAAAACCTCAGCCCCGACTCAGACTACCGACATGTCCACTCCACCAATTGGAATTAAGCTAGATGGGACCAATTACACAATGTGGTCTCAAGTGGTGGAAATGTACATAGCCAGCAAAGATAAATTGGGGTATATCAATGGCGATCTTCCCCAACCTCCATCGACAGACCCAACTTTTCGCAAATGGCGCACCGACAACGCCATAGTGAAGGTTGGTTGATCAATTCCATGGATCCATCATCGATTGGAAACTTCATTAGATTTCCAACGGCAAAAATGGTGTGGGACGCCATTGCAACAACCTGTCACAATACACACAAGAGGTAATTTTCATTCATACGGTCAATAGGTGGGTTACAGAGTTTATATAGGAAAAAAACTCCTAATTTTGGATAATCACAAATCTGTAGCTAATTAATTGATTCTACACATAATTGCCTAATTCTATTCCCTTAAAATGATATAATTATATATGATTTATGTTTCCAGAAAAAGATTTCTAACAGCTCACGCCAACACTCCCCCTCAAGTTGATGCTACAGGTCTCTGATGCCCAACTTGTTAAGTGAGTTGTGAAAGTCCTTGCTTGAAACTGCCTTTGTGAGTATGTCTGCTAGTTGATCCTCGACTTTACAAAAGCGAAACGAATTATCTCTCCTACCAAATTTTCCTTGATGAAGTGTCGATCTATTTCCACATGTTTTGTTCTATCATGTTGAACCGGGTCATGAGATATGGCAACGGCAGCTTTGTTGTCACTGTATAGATCCATCTCAGTAATAGGAGCAAAGCCAAGTTCAGTGAGTAGTTTTCTGATCCAGAGGAATTCACAAAGTCCTTTTGCTATTCCACGAAACTCCGCTTCAGCACTCGATAATGATACCACTTTTTGCTTCTTACTTCTCCATGTAACGAGATTACCGCCTACAAACATGAAGTAGCCTGAGGTAGACCTCCTATCTGAAATGTTCCCCGCCCAATCTGCATTTGTATAGCCATCAACTTTCAAGTGATCATTCTTTGAAAACATCAGTCCCGTCCCTGGTGAGGACTTTAGATATCGATGTATTCGAGTCACAGCATCCATGTGGTCTTTGCTAGGGCTATGCATAAACTGGCTAACTACACTTACGGCATAGGCAATATCTGGACGAGTATGAGGCAAGTATATAAGTTTGCCAACTAATTTTTGATATTTCCCTTTATCCGTTGGCACTTGATCTGAACACTCACTCAGCTTAAGATTTTGAGTGATAGGAGTATCTGCTGGTTTACATTCTAACATCCCCACCTCAGCCAGCAAGTCTAGCACATATTTTCTTTGGGATAGGAATATGCCTTGTCTTGATCTAACCACTTCAATTCCCAGGAAATACTTGAGGCCTTCCAAGTTCTTTATCTCAAACTCAGACGCCAGCTGTTTCTGAATTCTGGATATCTCTTCTTTATCATCCCCTGTGATAATCATGTCATCCACATACACTATCAATGCAGTTACTTTGCCTCCATTATACTTAAGAAAGAGTGTATGGTCTGAGTCACTCTATTTGAACCCATATTTCTTCATTGCCATACTAAATCGTCCGAACCATGCTCGAGATGACTGCTTCAAGCCATATAATGCTCGCTGCAATTCACACAGAACATTTTGTGAAGACCCTATATAGCCCGAGGGAGGTCCATATAGACTTCTTCTTCGAGGTCGCCATGAAGAAATGCATTCTTCACATCAAGCTGATGTAGTGGCCAGTCAAGATTAGCAGTGAGGGACAATAGTATTCTAACAGTGTTTAGTTTAGCAACTGGTGAAAACGTCTCTTCGTAGTCTATCCCATATGTCTGTGTATACCCCTTCGCGACTAGCCTTGCTTTGTACCGCTCAATGGATCCATCTGCCTTGTGTTTGATGGAAAATACCCATCTGCATCCTACTGTCTTCTTTCCTTCAAGTAATGGAACTAGTATCCACATGTTATTCTTTACTAGTGCCTCCATCTCATCTTTTATTGCCTGAGTCCATTTGGAATCTGATAAGGCATCCTGAATTCCTGTTGGAACATGATTAGAAAAGAGAACATGTACAAAAGCTTTCAGTGGATCAGATAACTTCGTGGTGGATACATAGTTGGCAACTGGATATCTTGATCTTCGTTTTTCAATGTCTGGAGAGTATCTGCTTGGCGGTTTGCCTCGATTATGCCTGAAAGGTAAATTATAGCCACCAGGAGTATCTAAATTGCTTATATGTAAAGGAGTGCTTACCTCAGAGATATTCTCAGGAGATGGGCCTGCGGATACTGAAGAGAAAGGGGGCTCTGGTTCCGTGGAGTTTGGTTCAGCTTCTACAGTTGGTTCCGGATCTTGAGTCATATCATTCCTTAAGTCAATATATATCGGAGCTGTCTCTATCTCAGTATTATTTGACCACTCAAACTTCGACCAATTCAACTCTTCATCCCTTGTCTCCCCCTGAAGAGGAGAATTGGATGTTGGAGAAAAAAATGTGTCAGACTCCGAGAAGGTAACATCCATAGTTACATAGGTCCGTTTGGAGGATGGATCATAGCACCGATAGCCCTTTTGATGTGT